GTTGAGACGTACAACACCATACTACAGAAGCAGCAGTCTGATTGATATCCTCGGGTAATCCTTGTACGAGCTTTGAAGATACGAAAGAAAATCCATGCTGTCCTCGATATGAAATATGAGATGTGGCGCGCTCTTCTTCGATTCCATCCTCTCCCTTTCGTCTCTTGCGAGGATTTCAGTTAGAGGGTAGAGACGCCCCAAGAGGTTCGGAACGTGGTCGATGAAGACGAGAGGAAATCAATGCCTCGGCCAGCGTCCGGTTCACCTTCTTCATACCACAATCCTTCTTCTGACGCTCTTTTTCTAGCTGTTTCCTTCTAGATTTCAGTCTTCGTCTTTTCCGTGCACTTTTTATCGCTCAAACCATTCCGGGCTTTCCACTCTCAAAATTTCGAGACAAGTTTGTAATTCATATTTTATCTATTTTTATTGATTCCAATATTCTATAACATCTCAAAGAAATATATACATCTTGATAGTTTGCCTAAAAAAATTTAATAACATATTGTTGAACCTATAATTAATAAATAGTTAATTTTTATGATTTTCTTTTTATTATTAAGCTCTTTTCTTTATTAAAAACTGACTACGCTTAAGAAATATATTTTGTACGACTTTCTTGAAGAAACTGAAACGTATAGCTAAAGCGTTAATTCGTAATTCCCGGTTAGCTGTCTAAATGTCAGCGTGTAGACATTAATAGGTAATTAAATCAATGAGCATTAAAGTATTTGAGAGACTTAATACACACACACACACACACATAAATCCAGATTGCTGGATCAAAACGCTTTTCAGCAGAGTCGTCGTAATGGCAGCTCGGCACGTAGCTCTGTCGAGCGAGTCGATCAAAATGCCGTCTCGGTTTCCCGTTCTCAGAAGTAAGTTCGCTCGTAAGAGGGATGTGCGAAGGGATGGTCGTACTTGCGGCACTCGCGAGGGACGAGCGTGCGAGCGCGACGGGGCGGTGGAATTAGCGGAGACGAAGCACCCTCGCTCGCGTAAGATTTCCGGGAGTTTAATATAGTTTTAGGGGCGTCGGCCGACAGCCCCGAGGGGTGTAATGGCGTCTTAAACCTCAGGGGCTCTCAGCCACGAATCTCTTCGCTCTCGCAGCCGGCCCGACCTCGGCTCGCCAATCCTCGTCCGCTGTTAAAAATTCGCGAGCGTCGAATCTCAACTGCCGGCGCCGGTTAAATCTTTGATCCCACCCACTACTCGAAGGCCGCGCGTGTGAGACGGAGAATGCATCCCGCGTGCATTTAGATCGGTGCGCCTCTCGCATAAGGGATAAGGACGGATAAGGTGCGCTCCGACGGTGCTTGATTTTTATGAGCGCGTAAATTCCACGAGAAACGCTCAGTTTTTTTTTTTCACCGGCATGCTTCTCTCTTCTGAAAAAATCTATTCTCTATTCTCTATTCTCCGGCGAATTTGCTCCCCATAATTCATGATTCATGATTTCGCGATTATATTGATCGCATATTGAAAATTGACGTGTTACCGAAATGCAAAGTTGTCAAATGTAATAAGCATTTCAAACAATGAATATATAATTTGAATAATTATATATGAAAAAATTAAAAATAATAGTAATATAAATCTGATTGTCAAGTTAAATTTTAGTTCTTCAACGTTTTGTATTTTGAACATCAACTTTTTACCTGTTGAATTTGTATTTAATTTATTAATTACGAAAGGATTTTTAAGTGTGTGCGAAAGTTTTCTTATATAATTACTTATTTACATTATGCAAATTTGTGTACATAAATACAATATTTTTTATCAAGTGAGTAAAACCAAGAAATTTTAAGACTCAGAAGCTCCAACATTGCACACACATAATCAATTATAAAATTTTATAAATGATAAAAATTTTTATAGCACACATATCCAAAGAATTAAAATCCATTTTGACATTCCTTTCGCAAGCATATATGATCACGTTCTGCTTGCACCAAGCATTTTCTTTATTTTTCTCTTTCCTTATTTCTTCTTTCGGAAATTCTTTCGTTCACGCTCAGTTGGAATTTCAGACTCATATTTGAAATATTATTGATCATCGATCATCCTTCCGGTCACGTTCCTGAAACTGCATTGCCTTGTTTATTCCCTTGCAAGAAAATATTGGCATCCATAAATTTCGTAAACAAGTAAAATAAATATCTCTGCACAAGATAAAATTTTCACTCAAGAAGGATTAACAAGTAAAATAATATCTCCCTGTACGAGATAAAATTTTCGCTCGAGAAAGACTTAACTATATTAAATTGATCGATCAAATAAAATCAATAATAATATTTTGTTTAATCTTGTTAAATATGCAGATAATATATATTATCTCGGTAACGCGTTGCTACCAACGAATTTATTAACGCGGTTATTTTGAGACAGACAATTCCACCGAAGAAATAAACCCGACGGATCCAACAGAGTTCTGACGGCTCTTGATTTTTACGAGCGCGTAAATTTCCGGTGTGGCTCCTTTTCTTTCCGCCTTGTCTTTCTCTTCTTTACTTCGTTTTCCGAGAAACGAGAATCCCAGTAGACCCGGCGTCCCATTTCTACACATTATCCCCTTCTTCTTTTCCTTCTTCTCTCCCATCCCCTTAATCCTTCGTTTTCTCAAGAAAATGATATTTTAAAGTGCCACCCTCCCTCTCTCGCGAATAAATGTGGGGAACCTAATATCCTCCCGACCGCTAGAAAATGCAGCAATTTGCGCTAGCTACATCAACAATATAAACTAGTGGCATTATTTTTGCAAATAGAAGTTATATTAAAATTTCAAAAAATTAACAGCAATGATATCTTATACGAGTATAAAGACTGTTTTTTTTTTGTTTTTTTTTTCATTTTAAAAATTAATGGAAATTGTTTTTATTATAGATCTCTGTGTGTCTATGGTAGGAAGTAAAATTTTGTTTGATTAAATATTTGATCCAATTAGATACGCGAGAAATAAATTTTCCCAGGATCTATTTACGAATCGGTCAAGTGTGAAACGTTTGTGCCGAGAGAGCGAGCGAGGACTTTGGATTTTCGGATGGTAGAAACGATATTCCGTAACCATGGCAAAGTCGTTGCGATATAGACGCGAAACGGGCAACCTCGGTGCGAGCGCTCGGACGGTTCTTGATTTTACGAGCTCATAAATTTCAAACGGCGCTCTTTCACCCCCGTCCTGGCTTCCACCGGCGCTTAACTCCGCGAAAATTCTATCCGTTTCGTTCTCACCCCCTGGGTTCGCGGAGAACTCTGTGGAATTTCATCGAGCGGCGGACTCGTCGGATTCCTACAATACCCCTCTTCTCCCTCCAATGAAGGCGCGTCTTTAACTCCGAATCCGCGCGTGAATCTTGATCCAAAGGGTAGCGCAACTATGCGGCCGATGTTCGCATAAAATGACTGCGATAAACCGTTGCGCGCAAACTTGATAAATTAGATAGAAAAACGAATGTTTCTATTGATTTAGAATAAAAGAGGTTCGTTAGCTATTCGTATATTATTTATATAATCCACATATATTCTACTCAATTAATTGTTTTATTTATTTACGACTCTCTGGAAAGAAAGATTTTACTGGAAATTGTTTCTTATTTTGAAAAATCAATTCGAATCGAAAGATCTTAATGAAATAACAAAGAAAATGAAATGCAAATATTACAATTATTATCAAATGCATCCTTTGCGTCGATTCGGCTATTTCGGTATTTCGGAAAAGATATAGCACATTTCCGTGGATCAGCACGTCCGATCTCGGAAAATCCCTGGAAAAGAACAGCCGATATTTTTTCCCAGATAGGAAATCAAGATCGCGGACCGGGTATATAATCGCGAGGGCGATCGACGGCCTCGTCGTATCGGCGGGGCGAGATTGAAGGCTCGGCTAACGAGTTGTTTATGGATCCACCCTCTGCGCCCGTACATACGTGTGTATACCGGTTGCTCGTATCGGTCAGACGTATATACGGGGGAGTCCATTAACGGGCCCTCCGTTACCTGCCGGCGGCGTAGTTCGCATCGTCGTCGTGCCACCACTCGCGGCAGCCTCTTTGTCTCTCCCTCTCGTTCTAACCACCCTCAGTCAGCAGCAGCCGGGTTATCCCGCCAGTAGTCATGGTAACACGGGGGTTGGAGCCGCCCCTGGCCACCAATCAGAGCTCGCGGCCAGGATGAGAGAAACGAGCGGCGCGACCCTTCCTAACCGGGGCTTCTCCTCTCGCCCCTGAGAGACAACGAACCCCTTTCCACTATTCGCTCTTCTCTCCGTCTGTCTCTCGCTCGCTGCCTTTTCTCGCCGCCGGGGTGGCTGAGATTCTCGCTTGGGAGGAAATCTTAACCGGGCGTGCCCCGCATCGCTGATGCCACCTACACCCGTCTTGTGAGATGGCTAGCCTTCCACCCTCTCTCCTTTTGCCCGAGGAGAGTCTTGACCGAACGGAATAAAGCTGGCAGCACCGAGAGAATCGGTACTTCGAGATTAACGTGAATGCTCGTGCTGGAATGTAGCAGGCGACGTAAAAGAGGAACTGAATGATGTTACTGGAGTTTTCCGATTTTTCTCTTAAGCTCGTAGCGTTCAATGATGAAGTAGCTTTGTAGTCCAGATAGCGTAACACCTTATGTCAACAGCGATCAATTTTCAAAAGAGAAGCTCCGTTGCGAAAACTGTCCGAAACGTTGCAAAAAATTCTTGTACTTGGAATTCTTCGATATCTTTATATGTTTCCGATATTATATATCGTACGAGCTTCCGACACAATTATTGTCTCTATGTATTATTTAAAAATTAATTAGTAAAAAGCAAAGAGCTTTATTCACTTTTTCTCCCAACTGCTGCTAACCGAAAGTTAATAACTACAGCGTAATTTTATCATCAGCTTTTTAAATAAAACGATTTTATAATTCAAAGTAGTGAAAAAGATACTTGGAATTTTAAACAACTTGTTGTATTGAAATTTTCTCTAAACAGGTTTTTCACCTTCTTTTTGTTGCAGGGGAAAAACCTCATAAATGTCAAGTGTGTGGCAAGGCATTCTCGCAGAGCAGCAACCTGATCACGCACTCGAGAAAACACACGGGTTTCAAGCCGTTTGCCTGCGAGCTATGCGGCCGAGCTTTTCAACGAAAGGTCGACCTGAGGAGGCACCGCGAGACCCAGCACGCTGACCTCAACGCGTCACATCGACCGCCGATTGGTTCGATCCCCGGACAGAATTCCCTACCCAGTGGCAATCCACCGATGATGCAGTGAAGCCGCGACGAGGCAGCGATTGATAATAAGCTGCCGGTCCGGCGCGAAACGGCTTCCGCGAATCAGGCGGTCTGACCGGATTGAGGCTGTAACTACTGCGGAAACGCGAGCGATCAATTAATCTCATGGATAGAATCATGAGTGAAACGATTGCGGAGTGTGATGGATTGAACGATGTCAACTTTTTGCATCTCAAATTACTTTTTATATTTTTTTCCAGCAATGAAAACATATCTAAATAATATATCTAAATTAATCTACATTTTTTTTTTACACGATTCTTATTTATAATATTAAAAAAACTTGCAATATATACTTTATTATTAAAATGCAGTAATCGAAAATTAAAATTATATTAGTTACTTTGGAAATAATTAGAAAGCAAAACGTTAATATCATTCAACCACGAATAATATTGAGGATGCAAAATTTCATGTATTGTAAATTCAGATTGACGGACGCGAAAATAATCGGAACAGTGCAATTAGAAAGTAGAAATTTTCGAAATAATGAAAATTGGCTAAAGGTGGGGAACTCTAATATTTTTTTTTTTTAATCAAGAAATCTCTTTATTGATCTTTTGATCCGAAAAGATCGCATAAGTTGATATTTATTCGATTATTTGTTTTTATAGAAACCGGTTAAGCGAATATGTCGAAATTGTTCCAAGGATTTTTGGTTTGTAGAATACACTAATAAGGATGGAAAGAGTGTATACTGATAATTTGTTGTGACTAAACATTCCATGAAAAAGCATTGCATTTATTTCGTTCCTAAACGATCAAACGCGCCATAAAAATTAATTTGTTCAGCGACTCTTTTATTCGGACAAGAGAGCTTTCCGCTATAATGAGAAACGATAATTTATTAATTACAAAGATGCATATGCGCGCATAAAAAATAGGCGAACGGATGATCGACTGTTTTTGTTATACAAATGATGGTTAGCACTTTCTACTTTAATCGACGTTTATCTACTGCTAATCGATTACCTGTTACTATAACTTCTCTTATTACGTAGATATTCTCACGACACACGCGGTGCAACTTTCAAGTTAGTCGGGCATTTTGCAAAAATGTACGTCACTTTAACAATACCCAGTATTGTATATCGTATAATACGAGAATAATGAAAAAGCAAATCAAAACGAAAGAAAAATCTACTCAAATAATATATTATTTTCGATATCAAGAAAATTGATAATATTTAAGCGTTGCATTTTTTGCAAAGTATAAAAATATTGTCCGAGTAGCGTGATTGTCGAATGGCGCGTAAGGTGTCAGAGTACGACGAGAATCGTACTGTATTTTGCATATCTCCCGCACCTGTCGTTGGAAAAAGGGGCGTAAAAAATACAACCCCTAAAGTTGCAACTGTGACCAAAAATTGTAAATAACACGTAGACAGTATCACGGCTAGTTTAAGCGTATAAATATATACATACAAATATGGATATAAATATAAATGAATCGAAGCTATAAATATTATAAATAGACATGGGCACACAATACACAAACACACACACACACACATACACATGTGTGCTGCTGACAGAGTCGTTCCGACTAATGGCGGCTCACACTTGTCGTGGCCTCCATCAAAAAGTTATTATATTCTTCCCTTTTTCTCGCTATCGAAGTTTTTATTGTTGTACCATTAATATCATTATGTAATTATTGTAATTAGAGACTCGCTATTAATATTATTGTCATTATTATTATTAACAATAAACGCTGTTACCATTTGTAAACGCTTTTTCTGTCTAGCAACTTCTTTTCCCTCTCTCAAATTCTTTCTTTATCAACGTAACTTCTTATTGTTTAATTTATTGCAAAAGATAATTATTATAGAAATAAAATATATTTTTCTTTAAATATATCATTGTCACGAGTGTCGAAGAAAGAAAGTGTGTAATACGAATCGAAATGTTAAATTAAAAAATAACCGAAAATAATTACATTATAACAAATGTAAATAGTGCGCACTTTAATTAAGATAATTTCCCGCTTTTTATCCGAATCGATAGCTCTATTAATTAAGGTCGCTGAATCTGGCACTGCCGGATCGCGATCGTTCCGGCTTCACTCGCTACAATTCAGGGTTAAACGGCCGTGCCAATTAAGCAGACTACCCCGAAGAACCCCTTAACGGCCCAATATGTTTTCTGCCGAGTTTCCCTGGACTTGGCCGCTCTCTCTCTATCCCATTCTCGCGCTCATTATTTTGTCAGGGACTTACGAGTGCGATGTTGCTGGGGTGAACGTGAAGATTTTCCGTAGGCTCGTTTACAGCTTCCATCGTCTATGTGCCAATCGTGCGGAACGTCGCGGGAAATAAAGGCTACGGGCCGGCGAAAAAAAAAAAAAAGAAAAGAAAGATGGAGCACATCGAAAAATTTATCTGCGAAAAAGAATAGCGAGAAAAAGAGAAAGAGAGAGAGAGAGAGAGAGAGAGAGAGGAAGGACATTACAGCACAGACTGCGCGACACCATGACGCAGCCACGGGAGCAGATTGGACAGTTATTGCATTCTGGGTAAGATTAATTGATATGGGGACTGGGTAGGTGGGCCGAAGGGCGCGCGGCTACGTCGGCGCTTAAACCTTGTCTCAGGCTGCGCGGGCTGGGGATGAGAGAGAGCGGTGATTAACCGATTGCACCGTGAACCAAGTAGAACCGAAAGCCACCCCTCCTGCGTTCTTCCTAATAGCCATTGAGTAATAGAGAGCCTCTCATTATTAAATAGCGCCGGGCCGCGAGTAGACTCGCATAAATCAAACATTTGCGTTTTGACGTGATTACATATAGATATTCAGAAATATATATTTTGTGTAAAAATTTATATAATTTTATTATAATACAAATATATTATATACCTCTTATTAATATTTATTATGATATAATTTTATTATATTTTATTATATAACTTTTATTCATTACACGTACAACCAATTCCCAAAAATTGCCATTAAAAGATTCAGATGTTGAAAATTGCTGAAAAAATGTTGCGAAATAATACGAGATCATATAATATTCTCCCTGTCGAGCGGTACACCAATCGCGGACGATCCCCGGCTATTGCAATTTTCGCGACAACATTACAGCCGCTTTAGCGGCTATGTGCCGATTCCATATCGCCTATACGATCCTCGTTGTATCCACCTCGTATCCACAACGCAGAAAAGCCGTTCGCATCGTCTCGCTCGGCAATGGAACGTTCGAATACGTTTTAGGAGACAACTCCATACACTCGCCGTATATACGCGGATACACCTTATGACTATTAAGGTATTCACGACCCCTCGGAGGACGCCCCACTTTGAAATATAGCACCTCGGGTCACCGTCGGTGTATATACCGTCAGTCGGAGATATCCTCCCCCTTTCCTCCTTTTCAATCCCCTCTTTCTATCGCATCCCGGCACCTTTTTTCGTATTCCTTTTCCCGTTTTCTCGCCAAACATATATATATACACGTCCTCCCTTATATCCACCCCCTCGCGGTTTTCCATATTATTTACAAGCCCCGACTCGTCTCCTCCCTGTCCCCCGCAATAACTCGGTCCGGAACGCGCGCGCTAGCGTGTGTCGCCAAATTGGTGGAAACCGAGGACGTCGTAACCTGTCCGTGACAACTCTGAGTGATGTAGCAGCGCGAGGATCCGACGTACAGATGGTGTCCGTTGGAGGAAAATATGATTGCTCGATAGTTTTTGAGTAGTTGGTCGAGCTTGACGTTGCAAAGACGCGTAATCGACTGTCAATGAGAAATACCGAGATCGAGCTGTTATTCTTTAAGGTAACATTTGTTTAAAGCAACGTACGTGAATCAATTTAGAAAATTATTATAGTTTATATCGCGTATTTTTATCGATAAATTGAGATATATTAATTCACCACTCTCTGTAATCGACATATACGCAATATTGGAATAATCATTCTTCTGACATCTTAAGTTATGTATTATATTTTTCTCTAAATTTTATATATTAAAAGATTAATATAAAACTAAGATCACTATTTATTAATTATATATTACGTTTGTTATTTTTTAGGCGCATTAAATCAATCGATTAAAAAAAAATTCTCTGGTTATTTATTCTCAAACACAAAAAGAAGATGCTTATCGAAATATATTGTCGCATTTTCTCTCAATGTACCACAGAGTTGCGTGTGCAAAATTTTTCCTCGCGCATACAAGCACACATTATTTCCACTACATTTTTTATTATTCGCGGAATATTGTACTTTCGCAACCTCCCCCTCGATGCTATGTAATTTTTTCGTTCGTTATTTCTCTGCGCGTCGAATTTCGAGAGCAAACGAAATGATCGGATACCGAAATCTCATTTCGCGTAAATGCGGCCTGGATGGACGCTGCGTGGATTTGCATGTCAGTCGCATTTGTGCGGGTTAGTCGGATTAAAAAACGTCGATGTCCAATTATCGTCGGACATCGCGCGGCTAATGGAATTTTTGAGAGGGAGATTAGGGGACTCGCGCGCGGCGTTCATGCAATTTTCGTGCGTTGCGTGCCACGCGTTAATTCGTTCCACGCGCGGATCGTGACGGAGATATGTTCCTTCCGTTGACGGGAGTATGTACAGGAACAAGTGCAATTTCGTTTACAATCACTTATAGTTAGAGTTACGCAAGTCGGATAACACCTAATTCGTCTAAACGCGAGTCTAAAAGCGCATTTTTCTCATCAATACGGTTAACGTAATATTCGGTTGAATCTGCTTGGCTTCTCTTCAAAAAATACAATTTTAAAAATTACCAGCATTTGCAAATTTACAAAAACTCACTCGTTTTTACTTTATTCGATAATGAGATGTAAGATTATTTCCTTTTTCCTTTTTTAAACAGCATGGACCTTCGATCGATCAAACGATGAGCTGTCACAGATGCGGTCATTTGTCAGTAGGCTTCTCTAATAACGAGGCGACTCTCTCTCTCTCTCTCTCTCTCTCTCTCTCTGTCTTCTGTGTGTATCGTGCGACTTTAAACAAATAGCTCGGCATGGAAAGAGGAAAACAAATGATGATCGTTTACGCCTGCGAAGAAGAAAAGGGCACGTCGCGCGTTTCGGCGATCAATCAAGTCTCTCCAGCCGGACTGACTTAATACAGTCGGAGATCGATTGAATTCCGACTTGCATGGGTACGTACACAACATTGCGGATATTCATAATGGATTCATTCGAAATGTTGCAATATTAAAAAAAAAAGAATATATATG